TGCTAACCATTACACCATAGAACCTCCTACCAGCATGATGGGGGGAAAGGGGAGTTTGAACTCACACTTCCGGGTCTATTTATAGCCTTCAGTGTTAAACTTGCAAACAGAATGGCTTTATGTAGCTCCTCTTCATCTGAATTTTAGTTGTGGGTTTGTTTTTCTTTTTCTGTTAGCCTTTGCTGGCCATTAATCCTTATTTCTGTCTTTGACATAACCTCAAAATGCTGCTGTCTACCCTAAACCTCCTAACTCAGTCACACTGGAAACTGATTAAACGTGAGGACTGTAAAAAGAATATCAGCTGTAAAGCATACACATGCAGCTACTCAGTGAAATCTGTATCCTGGTTAATATTGAGACAAGACTAACAAGATTGAACAGATAATATATTTACACTCTCCATGTAATATATACTCAGAATGTATGTATGTATGTATGTATGCGACTTGTGGATTGTCTGGTTTGAATGAAAGGAAATCTGAAGTAGCCACAGTGTGTGGCCTTCATTGGAAGAATGTCAGTGTATAGTATGTCAAAAAGTAGCAATTGATTTGATTTGACCAAATAATCACAAATTATGTCCAAATTCCCTGTATTTTCAATTAACTGAATAGCATCAGTTTTAAATGGGTTTACTGCATTAATACAGACTGTACGATTAACAGAGAAAATATGATAAATAGTGAATGCATTGACAACAATAATGAAGCCCACACTGATAAATGAGCTAGCATATTCCAGTGTATACACTGATCTTCATGTAGCAAAACAAGCCCATACGGTATATTTCAATAGTAATAGCTAAAGCTCCAGTAAGATGAAGTAAAGAAAATGTAAAACAAATCATACGATGTAAAACCAACAGGTCTAAAATTACACTATGTATAGGAATGCAGAAAAAAAATCAAAGGGCTGAGCACAGGCAACCTGACAGCAGGAAATTGCAGTGCTAAATGATACTGGTGCACTGCTGAGTAGTGCAGTGTGAGCTGAGGTGCAACGGGGTTACTTAGGGGCAGACAGGGATGCAGCTCTGTAAGCTTTGCTGCTCACTTTCCTTCTTTGTGCTGAACAAGCACCTTTTGTTTTCCTCTTAGACATCAGGTAGTTCATTCCTCTGATTTTTGCTCCGTGTTGATCAGTGTCTTTACTGATGTCCGTGAGTGGTTAACTGAGACATAGGAATGTCATTTTTCATTATGGTTATACATGTGCAAAAATATATAGTGTGTAGTACTACATCTGAAACATTAAATATTTTGTTTTCGTTTTTAAAGGTTTTTACAAGTTTAAGTGAATAAAATGGTTAAATTATCATTCCTCCTTTTATCAGCAAATAAAAAATTTTAAGAAGGAATTTCACAGTTCTTTTTTTCCCCATGAAATTCTTGTCATGAAAAAAGCTATATTAATTCCCCATGTTCTGTCTAAATGGTGATTATGCTTTTGTAAGCTGGTTGAAACTTGAAATATGAAAAAAAAATGTCTTTACACAGATATATGCATGTGCATTTAAATGTGTTTATGGTAACATGTATGGACAAAATGCTGCTTTTTGTCAGTGCTTCCATATGTTGGATTGTAGCTCCCTCTCCAGGCCTGCTTTCTCTGGTGAAACTATTGAGATAGAGTGCGCATTTCTATCTTATCCTGTCCCTCATAGCATGCAGTCATTTAAGTCAGAGAATCCCTCTCTGCAACATGTGTACAATATACTGTACTGTCTTGTATACCACCAAGTAATGACTCCTATATATAAATAAGGAAAAAATTTCTAAACCCATTCAGTCTTGCCACTAAGTGGCAGTGAGTGTGACTTTTGGGGTTCAAACAACCTCTGAATCTCAAATGAGAAAGTAGCAGTGTTATCCTCTGGATGCTATATACTTTATATACAATACATGTTTTTTGGGGGAGCTGTTTCTCACACGATAAATCTTTTTCATACTCTATCAATGATGCCTGTCGTTCTTAGTCTTGCTGACAAAAATATGTTCATTCTCTCTCAACAGATTTCCATGGAGAATGACTACTTGGGCCCAAGGCGAATTGAAGCTCTGAAAAAGGAGGACTTCGACTGGCAGAAGAAAGCTCAGGAAGCAGTCCTAAATATCCAGGAGTTTACTGTAAAATACTTTGAGATCACTGCCAAGGCCCAGAAAGGTACAGTATGTCATCACTGTCAATGTCAATGTCAAGTCAATAAAGCAGCAGAGGAATGACTTTGAATAATCACACACAGCACGCAGGCACACACACACACACGTAGTGGAAGCATTGGCCTGCTATTGACCTGTGTGTGGTTTTGAACGCCAGGGCTAATGTGATTTGGTATTAATGAGGCAGTGCAGACAGCCGTGCTTTGACAGGGACAGGAGGAAACAAGGACAACCTATTGATCAAAGAGCTCTGCCAGCAGATTGTCTCTGTGCAGGGTTACTCCACAACGCGCCCCTGCTTATCCCAGTTTTTCTCCACTACTGATTGGGCCATTTATTATCTGACACTTATTAGATCAAAAATGTAATAAGGTTCAAATGAAAGCTTCAAGTGAAAACTAGAATGAAAGAAGTTGTAATGTCTAAATTGGGCCAATAGATGTCTCCCTCTACATTACTGAAATAATGCTTTACTCCTGTGAGACTAAAGTCTTCACATTAAATTGAAAAGAATTGTGGGTGACATGCCCACTCATTGTACGAGAGGAGAAAGTTTTGTGATCGAGTTGTTGACTCACTTTCACACAAGTGCACGTCAATTTAAGCTGCGTCAAGTTTCACTGCCAAAAGTACATTGCCTTTTGTTTGTCTGTGTGTGTGTGTTGTGTGTATGTGTAGGCGTGTATGAGCGTATGAAGGTGGACCAGCGTAAGTTTGGTAAATCTTCATGGACAGCGGCGGTGGAGCGCATGGAGAGACTTCGCTACTCTGTCGCAAAGGAAACTCTGCAGCTCCAGAGAGCCAGGGAGATCTGTCTGGAGCAGAGGAAACACACACTTCGAGACGAGGTGTGGTCATAACACGTAATGCTATACGAAACACATATGCACACACAGTTGTTTTGTGACTTAGTTTTTTGTCCCGGGCCCTTTCTTTAGATGCAGAGTCTGTGTAGCAGCGAGGATGCCATGGCCCTCTTAGACCACATGGAGACACAGTACTATGAGCTTCAGCTCCAACTGTATGACATCCAGGCTGAAATACTACAGTGTGAAGAGCTGCTTCTCACTGCTCAACTAGACAGCGTTCGCAGACAGATGACAGGTATTTTGGCCCAAGACTTACTTGCTACTTTTAGATAAATCTTGCTTACAACAAGCCCCTTGAGATGCATGTAACATTTTCAAGAGAGTCCAGATAAGACATTACATTTCACAGACTATTCTATACTGTTTGCTGTGCATGAGCTACAAAATAGTCTGAATAATTACATTACTGGTGTGTAGTGAAATGAAAGATCTGTACCTGTGTCCGCAAAAGTCTTTTTTTGTACACGTGTTTTTAGAGCGTCAGGATGAGGTGGTCTACTATGACACCTTTGAAAGTGCAGATGATATTACAGAGGATGACACTGCAGAGAGGGAAGAGCTTCGCAGACTTCAGGTCAGCGCTCGACAGCTGGAGGCAAGAAGGGGGCGCATTACTGCCAAGCGCTCCTATCTGAGGAACAAGAGGGTGTGTACACCTTGCTCACATTCACATTTATTTTCATTCCTGAAGCGTATCCTGCACTGTGTATTTTTGTTTGATTGAAACAGTGTCCTGTTTTTATTATGTATAAATAATTTTATTTTTATTTTATATACGCTGTAGTTATATTTGATATATTTGAATATTAGATTTCGCTTTGAGAATACACAAGAAGTAGAAATATAAATGAATCACTCGTGATATCAGCTTATAAGATGTAATGACCTGTTATCATAAATGTCCAGGAACTATTAAAAGAGTCAATCTTGCCTACAACAAAATTATAAAGGCACATGGCACATAAATGGTTCTGACATACATATATTTATATATGGTATATGACACTGACCAACCTCTCCTCTTCCTGCAGGAGATCTGTGTATCCAACCACACCCAGAATCAGCAGAAACGTCAAACCATCCACAAGGACTTTATATCCCACCAGATCTTACAGGTATAAGGTTTTTAATAATGATGTGACTGTTTACCTGTAAAGCACTGTCAGTAACTCTCCTCTACTCTAAATCTCTAACTTTGTCAGCTGAAAAATAAAGAAGAAGAAGACGAGGAAAGGAAGAACAGTAGAGTTAGTCAGGAGAGACAGAGAACTCTGGACAGATTACGCACTTTCAAGCAAGTATGTATTTCCTTCTTGTGTATATTTGAATGCCATAAAGGTCTCACCAATTAAATTTTTTTTCTTACTGACTGACTTCTGTCTCGCTCTGTGTCTTTTTCTAGCGGTACCCAGGTCAGGTAATTCTGAAGTCTACTCGACTACGTGTGTCCCACAGTAGAAGACGAGACCGTGGAAGGAGCATGGAAATGAGTAGCGTGAGTGAGAGGGAGGAGCGTGTGGATTCAGTCTGTGTCCAGACGCAGGGCCAGCCGCTGTGTCTCAGTACCAGTGTACAGACGGACCCCAGCCCCAGCTCCACGCTCACCACTCAGCCAGTCACGGCCCTCACAGCATCCCTTCCTCCGCTGCCTGTGCCCAGTCCTGCAGACTCCACCTGCTCTCCGTGCTCCCTGTCCTCATTACTGGCATCCCCCATCTCCCCTCCTCCTCCACCTCCCCCACCACCTCCTTTGCCAACAAAGGAGGAGTTGTCACCTTCTGGGAGCCCAGGTCGGCATGGGCAAAAGGTTGAGGGGAAGAGTGCAGGAGAAGAGCTCTCCCTTTCCCCACTCGGCCCATTTATCCCTCGCTTCTTTGACAGTAGCCAACTGGTGAGCGCCCGGAAAAAGCTGAGGAAGACTCCAGAGTTTGACTCCCACAGCAGAAGAGGTACTGAAACTATTTAGTTCCATAGTAGGTTCTATTAGATTACCGAAATACAGTAGCCAATCACTGTCCGTTTTCCTCTTCTCTTCCTGTATGCAGAGAGTTCACCCATGGACGAGGTGCTAGCCTCCCTGAAGAGAGGCAGCTTCCACCTGAGGAAGGTCGACCAGCGGTCCCTGCCTCCTGCCAAGGGTGACGATGACCCCAACAGCATCTTGGTTCAAATTCGCAAGGGGGTCAAACTGAGGCGTGTCCCCAGGAAAGAAAGAAAGGACCAGGGAGAGCTCCCGGCCTCCACCGACCCCCTGACCAGGAGCATCCATGAGGCACTGCGCCGTATCAAGGAGGCCTCACCAGAGTCTGATTCAGATGACGATGGGCTGGCCGGCCCTGACTGGGACAGCTAGGATTCAAGACTCAGACGCAACAAATAATACACACACAGATGCCTGCACCCTCTGGCACTGCACACACTGTACTGTACTGCACTGTAAGGTGCTGTACTGTATACACACATGCACCAACACGTAGTTACTCATTCATTCACACTCAAGCACACACAGCCCAGTCACAAATGTACCTAGTGACTATGCCAGGGCCTGAATCATACCGAATATCACCAACTCACCAAATGCTCGAGAGGTCTATGGTCAACCTGTCAATTTGGTTTTCACACTACATTCACTGTCATGAAGGACATTATTTGTGTTTTTATTTCTTCTTTACGTAACTGTGGTTTTATTCCTGTACTGTTATAAGATTGTAATGATGCCATGTTTGTTTTTTAATGTTTTTCAGTTGTACCATTGAAAAGCTCTGCACTGGCCTTTTGTGACTATATTAACATTCAGAAACAGCATGTAACACAATTTACATCATCATACTGTACTGATACGGAAAGCTATTAGTGCTTTTTTCCACTTTTTTTCCAAAGCATGAGAAATTAGAAACTGTAACAAAAGTATGTAATGTGTATGGTTGATCATTTGGGATCATGTGGGAGATTGAAAAACAAATAGAAGATCCCACTGAGATTCACCATCAAACATCACCTCTGCTGACACTCTTGTTTTTTTTTACGCAACCAGTGTACTATGACTGAGCCACGCTATGCTGCACAGCTGGTTTTGTCCTGTCATAATGGGTAGTGGTAGTGTCAGACAGTATGAGGACCACTGCTTGTCTAATCTGACACTGTACAAATACTGTAAATCCTTTAGTCTGTCACACCAGATCTGCACCCCTCCCCCACTCTTGTCCTCTTCCGGCCCTCACTACCCTCCAACTCTCAACCCCTCTCTGGGTGAGGGAATATGTATCGACCCATCTGTTCGACTGCAGCATATGCCCAGGCTTGTGGGAGATATAAAGAGTCACAATAGGTTTATCATTTGGAGCCACATTTCAACAATATCTCCTAGCAGAAGCTGGTCACCTAGAGTAGGAGAGGATTAGATGAAGGGTAACTGGAAGAGCTTCAGAGTTTCTTGAGCGAGGTGGAGGTCATGTTTAGTGTCAGTACTCTTTGTAACGTGTGGGCAGACTTGGTTGGTGATTCCCGAACTTTGTATGTGGGATAGTCACGGCAGAGCTGTGAAACCGGTCACGCTTGTTTGAATGATGGATGGTTTGTGGGAGGCTAGATTCTCTCTGCGCTGTAGGTAGTCACTGTGGGCTGTGGAGAAGGCTGTCATGATTGATGCGGTTTCTCCTGCCGTCTTATTCACTTTCTCTCCTCTCCTCTATTACTTTTTTTCTAATTTCTTTCTCTGCACTCAGTGGGCAGACGCACACAGTAGGAGGTCTGTTACTCACAGTGTTGGAAGTGAAAACATGCTCATGCACACATGGACTTGTGCACTAAATTCATAGCCGACATGTGCAGAAACATTTTAGTGGCAAAGTGATTCCACAGCATCTACTCATAAGTCTTTTTTTGGGGGGAAATTGTTTCAGCACTTTCATGAAACATTGTACATTCTGAATCACTTTATCTCTACAGTAACTTTGTTTTTTTAATCATTGGTGAAACGTTTTATCTGTAGATGGATAAGTATAAAAGCACTGAACAACATGTGGAATTGGACCTACATAAGTGTGATTTGAAGGACAGTATGAGGACCAGTGGGATGCTTAGCAGCACAGGAATTCACGCAAGCATACATGTTAACATGAAACAAAAAGATGTGGATTCATAAACTAAGCTCTAAATCTGGAGCAACCTCAGCATGCACTGTCTTAAACAGCTTTGATGCGAAGATTTGTGCTTTTCTTCTTGTTCTTGTGTTGAGAGCCATTCGTGGATTAATCATGAAGCAGACACTAATGTAGAAAGAACCACCATGGAAGTATACTGTATGTTACATTATACAGCTTGGAAATAGCTCAGTGCTAAAGAAAGTTTATTATTTTCCTGGCAGAGCAAAACTGAGGCACTTTTACATGTCTTCTGTCACTGTCAGCACAGTGTTCTACCATGGTACTCTCATCGTGTAGCATGAGACAGAGATCTAACCCTGACCTGACTCTTAACTTAAATCTTACCCAGACCATACCTGACTTAAAGTCTCTTTAACAGACCAGGACAGAGTTTCCGAAAAGATGTTACAATGGCCATCAATGTGCTTAAAACTTTTGGGAAACTGGGCTCAGAATGTGACACCTTCGCCATGAATCATCTATCTATCACCTGACCTGACCATAGAAACACACTGTCATGTGTTTTACATTGATCTATAAATAACTTTAACTCTGTTTGTTTGTCAGCTAACTATGATTTTATATTGCATTTCATGCTTCATTTGTATCCAGTTTTTTCCAAAGCCTTTCCAGCCAAATTGTTTTGTGATGTGTTTACTTCTGAACATTTCCTATGTAGACCTGTTATCCACACAGGCTGACTATATGACCCACTGTCTGAAAATTCCAGTCAATCACTTAAGAAGTGCAATATCAATATAGGGAAATACAAAAAAAGACATGAAAAAAGTTAATGAGTGATATTGAGTTCAGATTAATTGCCTAAAACAACAGGCTTATTAAATGTTGCAGATGTTTTTGCACGAGTGTATAGACATACTGTTCCAAGAATACCTTTTTGCCTTCAGTCCTAGCATTTTCATTAACCTTTTTTTTATTTACAACCTCACCCCTGCATTTGAATAAAACCTTGTGAAGCAAATTTTGAGTTTTCTGTTTCATTGTTGAATAATTGAGTTGAAAATGTGTTGTTTTGTTAACGAAAGAGAAGAAAAAGCAATCTGTACACACTGAATTCTGCGGTCACTGTATTTGAATATAAAACATAGCATTTCTCAGTTCACAGAGGTGTGTTCACAGCCTGGTAGGGGTGTCTTTGTTTGAATTCAACAAAGGATTTAGTTTGGCTGAAGCACCAACAGGTGTATCTCCTGATCGTTTTTCACCAGCATTTGGTAAATCCTTTCACCTGCAAACACACAAGTCTCACCAATCTACGAACATCATTAGCCTGAGGTACCTCTTTAATATCATGAGTTCAAAATTACTTTAAATAGTCAAAAATATTGCCAGTCTTCTCATACCTCTAAATACAATAATAATACCTACATTTAAATACCATAAGTTACAAAACAGGAGAATGAAAAGCTTCTTATCCACTACTGTACAAAGGCATTCATTAACAATAGGATTAATATCAAGGTATTCCATCTGTTATTCGACTGTCAAAGTTAAACCAGACAAAAAGGGTAACTTTTCCCTTTACATGGGTCTTATTCCAGTGTATTAACCAGTGTAGCTAACTACAATATTTTAAGTACAGAATTATGCTGTGCTAGTTTTTAATGCAAATCTCTTAATATATAATGTAATTACAACAGTGTAATAACACAGTGCAAACAGGGTGCTCAATTGAAAGGTAAAATAAGCAGCATTTCATGTGAGGATATAGCTTTTTAGAAATTCAGTGATTTTAAATGAATAGATTTTAAGATGCAGTTTTAGATTTTTACCAGTACAGGAGCTGCTTTATAAGTGCATGTTTTGGTACAGAACGTTTAACACTATGTGTTTACATTGTGTCGTTACAAATTTTAAATATATATTGAAGAGGTTTTCATTGTTTACCTACAGACTAGATACTCAACTATGCAATACTTTTCCATGGGTTAATACACAACAATAAGCCACTGCAGGGTGTTACTGCTTTTAAGTTATCCATCCATTCATTTACAATGCCGTCATGAGTAGAAAGTTGTCTTATACAGTTCTATTATTATATCATCAGTGTTATATCTTGTGTAAAAAAGATAGAAACTGAGTACAGTTCTGTATTCACTCGTGGGGAGTGAAAATCTGTGGCCAGCTTCACTGAGGGTGGAGATTTACGGACACGTAGATGACACTCTATAAGCCCTTCATGATGCACTACTTCGTCCAGACAGGGCTGCCACACAGGTTCGCGGTCAACAGTAGTACACTTTCTGTCGGACAGGGGGGATCAGCTGAGTTGCATTTGACCTATCTGCATGAGTCCACTGAGTAGAGTACCTGATAGAGTTAGATAGAGGTGTCATATAGAGCCTGTCTGGTATTGCTCAGTGTGTGTGTCTGTGTGTGTGGGGGGGCCTTGATGTCCAAAAACAGGGTCTTTCTCTCACAGCACAAAACACACACACATATTATATACAAACATGTGTCCACGTATATGTGCTTTGAAGGCACACGCTTTGTCATAGGTCAGGCCTTGTTCGGGAACACACACCACACTGAGTTTGGCAGGAAGACAGGTCATTTGTCTGTGACGGTGGAAGCAGTCTGGATACAGAACTTTTCATGTCAAATCTAACACGGGCACATGCCCTCTAAAATTTCTGTGTGGCATGAAGAATGCCTCTGGAAGATTCAATACTTATCTATCATGTAGGATTTTAAATAGGCTGTGGATATATAGCAGTCATTCATTTACGCTGGAGAATTAAACATAACTTCATTTCCCGGCAGTCCTGTGTATCCAGGGAGCAGCTTTGATGTCACCACAGGCCAATAGGTAAGACTGACTTTTTTGTTGAGAGCCGTCCTTTAATTCTCTGTTTCCAGTGACACTCCGCTGGCAGCCCGAGCTCAAACGTGGAACTCTGTTTCTCTGTTCAGCACTTCTCTGTACAGTAAGTCACTTTGGATCAAAGCATCTGCTAGTTAGAGGACAATATTTTGGGGGGATTTGGCAGCTTTGGCGCAGTTCTCTGAGTCTTAACAGCAATTATTTCCACATGACTTTCAACATTCCCCTTGGG